TTCAGATTCTGGCCAGTGGAATCAATGAACGTCCAAACGCTTGACGTGCCGAAACAGGCGTAAACGTTCCTAAACGCCAGGTGTGTTTTGCGCTTGAGCATTCTATTATTCCAATGGCTGGAATAAATTCAGATGAATCAATGAACATCTAAATGCTTGACGCACCTAAACGCGCCTCAACACTAGGCGCATTTTGTGCTTGAGCATTCATTCATTCCAATGGCCAGAATAAATTTGTGTCAATGAATGTCCAACTGCAACTAAACGCATGTAAATGCGCCTAAACGCTATGCGCTTTTAGCACTTGAGTATTTATTTATTCCAGTGGCCAGAATAAATTTCTATGAAAAAACGTCCAAACGCACCTAATCGCACCTAAATGCTTTTAGCACTTGGGCGTTCATTCCAATGGCCAGAATAAATTAAGGTTTAGATTCTGGCCAATGGAATCAATGAATGCCCAAACACATGATGTGCCTAAACACGCCTAAATGCTAGGTGCGTTTTGCGCTTGAGCTTTCATTCCAATGGCCAGAATAAATTAAGATTCAGACCAATGGAATCAATGACTGCCCAATGCTGAATGCACCTAAATGCGTGTAAACGTACCTAAATGCTAGGGGCTTTTAGCGTTTGGGCGTTCATTCCAATGACCGGCATAAATTAAGATTCAGATTCTGGCCAATGGAATCGATGAACGCCCAAACGCCTGACGTGCCAAAACACGCGTAAACACGCCTAAACGCTAGGTGCGTTTTGCGCTTGATCTTTCATCCATTCATTCCATTGGCCAGAATAAATGTATATTCTGCTGTATGGAATCAATGAACATCCAGACGCAGGACGTGCCTAAACACGCTTAAACACGCTAGGTGCGTTTTGCGCTTGATCTTTCATCCATTCATTCCATTGGCCAGAATAAATGTATATTCTGCTGTATGGAATCAATGAACATCCAGACGCAGGACGTGCCTAAACACGCTTAAACACGCTAGGTGCGTTTTGCGCTTGAGTTTTCATTCATTCCAATGGCCAGAATAAATGTATATTCTGGCCAATGGAATCAATGAACGTCTGAACGCACCTAAACGTGTGTAAAACGTACCTAAATGCTAGGGGCTTTTAGCACTGGGGCGTTCATTCCAATACCAGAATAAATTAAGATTCTGGCCAATGAAATCAATGAATGCCCAAACATCTGACGTGCCAAAACACGCGTAAACGCGCCTAAACGCTAGGTGCATTTTGCGCTTGATCTTTTATCCATTCATTCCATTGCTCAGAATTAATGTATTTTCTGGCCAATGGAATCAATGCACGCCCAAACGCATGACGTGCGTAAACGCTAGGTGCGTTTTGCGCTTGAGCTTTCATTCATTCCATTGGCCAGAATAAATGTATATTCTGTCCAATGGAATCTATGAACGTCCAAACGCTGAATGCACCTAAACGCGTGTAAACGTACCTAAACGCTAGGGGCTTTTAGCGCTTGGGTGTTCATTCCAATGGCCAGAATAAATTAAGGTTCTGGCCAATGGGATCAATGAATGCCCAATGCACCTAAAAGCGTGTAAATGCGCCTAAACACTAGGTGCGTTTTGTGCTTGAGCATTCATTCATTTATTCCAATGGCCAGAATACATTTTGCTAAATGCTAGACACTTTTAGCGTTTGGGCGTTCATTCCAATGGCCAGAATAAATTAAGATTCAGATTCTGGCCAATGGACACAATGAATGCCCAAACTCTTGACATGCCTAAACATGCGTAGACGCGCCTAAATACTAGGTGCGTTTTGCGCTTGAGCTTTCATTCATTCCAATGGCCAGAATAAATGTATATTCTGCTCAATGGAATCTATGAACGTCCAAACGATGAATGCACCTAAACGCGTGTAAACGTACCTAAATGCTAGGGGCTTTTATTGCTTGGGCGTTCATTCCAATGACCAGAATAAATTAGGATTCTGGCCAATGGAATCAATGAACGCCCAAACGTCTGACGTGCTAAAACACACGTAAACACGCCTAAACGCTAGGTGCATTTTGCGCTTGATCTTTCATCCATTCATTCCATTGGCCAGAATAAATGTACAGTATATTCTGGCCAATGGAATCAATGAACCTCCAAACGCTGAACGCACTTAAACGCGTGTAAACGTACCTAAACGCTAGGGGCTTTTAGCGCTTGGGCGTTCATTCATTCCAATGGCCGGCATAAATGAAGATTCTGGCCAATGGAATCAATGAACCTCCAAACGCTGAACGCACGTAAACACGTGTAAACGTACCTAAACGCTAGGGGCTTTTAGCGCTTGGGCGTTCATTCCAATGGCCGGCATAAATGAAGATTCTGGCCAATGGAATCAAAGAACGTCCAAATGCACCTAAACGCACCTAAATTCCAGATGCCATTAGCGCGTAAGCATTTATTCCTTCCAGTGGCCAGAATAACTGAGTATCCTGGCCAATGGAATCAATGAACATCCAAACGCTTGAGCGCGCCTAGATGCGCGTTTTTTACCTGCCAGCAGCACCGGCGTCCAGGGGAGGGGAAAAAAAAATGGTCTTAGAAATAAAAGAACACACGTAAACGTTTGGTGCATTTTGTGCGCTTGAGCATTCTATTATTCCAATGGCCGGAATAAATTCAGAATCTGGCTTATGGAATCAACGGACATCTAAATGCTTGACGCACCTAAACGCACCTCAACACTAGGCACATTTTGTGCTTGAGCTTTCATTCATTCCAATGGCCAGAATACATTTATGTCAATGAATGTCCAAATGCAACTAAACGCATGTAAACGCGCCTAAAAGCTAGGAGCATTTATTCCAGTGGCCAGAATAAATTAATATTCTAGCCAATGGAATCAGTGAACGTCCAAATGCCAAATGCACCTAAACGCGTGTAAACGTACCTAAACGCTAGGGGCTTTTATCGCTTGGGCGTTCATTCCAATGGCCAATGGAATCAATGAACGCCCAAACGCATGATGTGCGTAAACGCGCCTAAACGCTAGGTGCATTTTGCGCTTGAGCTTTCATTCATTCATTCCATTGGCCAGAATAAATGTATATTCTGTCCAATGGAATCTATGAACGTCCAAACGCTGAATGCACCTAAACGAATGTAAACGTACCTAAATGCTAGGGGCTTTTAGCGCTTGGGTGTTCATTCCAATGGCCGGAGTAAATTAAGATTCTGGCCAATGGAATCAATGAACGCCCAAACGCATGACGTGCCTAAACATGCTAGGTGCATTTTGCGCTTGAGCTTTCATTCATTCCATTGGCCAGAATAAATGTATATTCTGCTCAATGGAATCAGTGAACGTCCAAACGGTGAATGCACCTAAACGCATGTAAACGTACCTAAATGCTAGGGGCTTTTAGCACTTTGGCGTTCATTCTAATGGACAGAATAAATTAAGATTCTGGCCAATGGAATCAATGAACACCCAAACGCATGATGTGCTTAAGCACGCATAAACGCACCTAAACGCTAGGTGCATTTTGCGCTTGAGGTTTCATCCATTCATTCCATTGGCCAGAATAAATGTATATTCTGGCCAATGGAATCAAGGAATGTCCAAACGCTGAATGCACCTAAACGCGTGTAAACGTACCTAAACGCTGGGGGCTTTGAGCGCTTGGGCGTTCATTCCAATGGCCGGCATAAATGAAGATTCAGCTTCTGGCCAATGGAATCAATGAATGCTCAAACGCATGACGTGCTTAAACACGCTTAAACACGCTAGGTGCGTTTTGCGCTTGAGCTTTCATTCATTCATTCCATTGGCCAGAATAAATGTATATTCTGCTCAATGGAATCAGTGAACGTGCAAACACTGAACGCACCTAAACGCGTGTAAACGTACCTAAACGCTAGGGGCTTTTAGCACTTGGGCGTCCATTCCAATGGCTGGAGTAAATTAAGATTCTGGCCAATGGAATCAATGAACACCCAAACGCATGACGTGCTTAAACACGAGTAAACGCACCTAAACGCTAGGTGCATTTTGCACTTGAGCTTTCATCCATTCATTCCATTGGCCAGAATGAATGTATATTCTGGCCAATGGAATCAATGAATGTCCAAACGCTGAATGCACCTAAACGCGTGTAAACACTAGGGGCTTTTAGCGCTTGGGCGTTCATTCCAATGGCCAGAATATATTAAGATTCAGATTCTGGCCAATGGAATCAATGAACACTCAAACGCCTGAAATGCTAAAACACACGTAAACGTGCCTAAACGCTAGGTGTGTTTCGCGCTTGAGCTTTCATCCATTCATTCCATTGGCCGGAGTAAATGTATATTCTGCCCATTGGAATCAATGAACGTCCAAACGCTGAACGCACCTAAACGCGTGTAAACGTACCTAAACGCTAGGGGCTTTTAGCACTTGGGTGTTCATTCCAATAACCAGAATATATTAAGATTCTGGCCAATGGAATCAATGAACGGCCAAATGCACCTAAATGCGCCTAAATGCCAGATGCCTTTAGCGCGTAAGCATTTATTCCTTCCAGTGGCCAGTATCCTGGCCAATGGAATCAATGAACGTCCAAACGCTTGAGTGCGCCTAGACTCGCGTTTTTTTTACCTGCCAGGGAGCACCGGCGTCCGGGGAGGTAAAAAAAATGGTCTTAGAAATAAAATAACTTTTCTATCATTGAAGTGAAACTTTTCAAACCTCCACATATTGGATCATCTCAGCCTTTTGTGTCCTTTCTATTGTCATCGCCGGTGAATAAAAGAGAGACGATTGTCCCATCCGAACACTGGGGCCCGTCTGATTGGCCCTCAGCAGACTCAGCCCTCTGTACCACCTTCAAAAGATCAGGGCGGTTGGAGGATCTCAGTAGAAGTTCCAGCGAGGAGGAGGGCAGCTGCTGGACCAAAAACTTCCCCCCCCCCCCTCCTGTGTCTGAGAGCACAGCCAGTGTGTAAGCCGAGGCAGAGCAGGGTCCCAGCGAAGGTCCCTCATCCTTCGATATGTCCATCCCCAGCACCTGCCGGATGGATCGGATGCTCCTGGGCTCCTGCGCCCTCATCCTGGCTATCTGTCACTCTCTGGTGGGAGGTAAGTCAATAACGCGGCTCTGATGTCCCATCCGCTTCTTCTTCTTCTCGTCCTTCAAGCGTTCCATTCTCCTTCAGCTGTCCCTAGGATGGTGTCCGCCTGCCGGAACATACTGATGGCTTATTCGTCCTCCGAGCGGCATCGCCCTCAGCAGTGTGCACGTGTGTGGCCCCTGGTGGGGGCCTTAGATTGCAAGCTCCTTTGAGCGTAGGGACGGAGGCGAATGGTTGGAAGCGGCGCAGTGGATTGGAGTCGGATAAAGTCGTAGTATAACTACAGGAAGCCAGCTGGTTAGTTAGGACTCTGTTTATTAACCAAGGTGCCGCTGCACCCGGGGGGGCCACCTGGAATCCCCTGGGGAGCTGTGACCACGGGACCCAGTTTGCCCTGGATTACAAATGAATGAGAGGACTCTGTGACGAGGGGGGACTTTGATGTGATGGGGGGACCTCTGATGTGATGGGGGAATCTGATGTGAAGGGAGGCCATATGTTGTAAAAAGGGGGGGTACTCTAAAGTGACAGGGGGCTCTGATGTAATGGGGAGGCTTTGAAGTGACGGGGTTCTAATGCGATGGGGAGACTGTGATGTGAAGAAGGCCTCTGATGTGATGGGGGACTCTGTTGTGAAGGGGGACTGTGATGTGATGGGGAAACTCTGATGTGATGGGGGGACTGTGATGTGAGGGACTGTGATGTGAAGGAGGCCTCTGATGTGATGGGGGGGACTCTGATGTGAAGAAGACCTCTGAAGTGATGGGGGGAACTCTGATGTGATGGGGGGACTCTGATGTGAAGGGAGGCCATATGTTGTGAAAAGGGGGGGGGGGTACTCTGAAGTGACAGGGGGCTCTGATGTGATGGGGCTTTGAAGTGACAGGGGGTTCTAATGTGATGGAGGACTCTGATGTGAAGGAGATCTCTGTGAGGGGGGATTCTGATGTGATGGGGGGACTCTGATGTGAAGGAGACCTCTGATGTGCTGGGGGAACTCTGATGTGCTGGGGGGGACACTGATGTGCTGGAGGGGACTCTGATGTGATGGGGGGACTGTGATGTGAAGGAGGTCTTTGATGTGATGAGGGACTCTGAAGTGAAGGGGGACTCTAATGTGATGGGGGCTCTGTGATGTGTGGGGAACCTCTTATGTGATGGGGGGACAGTGATGTGAAGGAGACCTCTGAAGTGATGGGGGGAACTCTGATGTGATGGGGGACTCTAATATGAAGGGGGAATCTGATGTGATGGGGGGCCTCTGATGTGAAGGAGACCTCTGATGTGATGGGGGAGAATGTGATGTGAAGGAGACCTTTGAGGTGCTAGGGGGACTCTGATGTGTTGGGGGGGGACTCTGATGTGTTGGGGGGGGGGACTCTGATGTGAAAGGGGACTCTGATGGGATGGGGGGTCTCTGATGTAAAGGGGGGGCTCTGAATGGGTCATGTTCAGCTGTGGTACTGCCCACCAAATGGGCTTAATTTTTCATGTATACAGCCCTGAGTGGCTGCACGTCGGCTGTTTACGTGGGCAATTGAGGGGCGGTAAATCCTTGGCTCTGCTGCCTGCTTTTGCTGCCTCCCCGAGCCGCCTGTGTTAATGAGCCCTTAAGGATCACTATAGTGAAAATGTCATCTTCCATAGATTATATAGAGGCACAAGTCCACCTTTTTCACCCAATAGGGAGAGAAAGTAGTAACCCAATATCATTCGACCGGGGGGGGGGGGGGGGGGGGAGAAAATACCTTAAAGGCATTCGATTCGGCCCCATTCACCACAGCGAAAATTTCTAAAGCAAATGAACTAAACAAATAGTATTGAGGATGTTCTCTGTGGCTGGGGTGAATGGGACAAAATCAATCGTCCTTGGGCTTGTTCTCCCCCGATCGACTATTCTTGGGCTATTTTCTCCCCTGATCGAATGTTCTTAGGTTACTTTCTCCCCTAATCAAATGTTTTTCTTCTATTTTCTCCCCTGATCAAATATTCTTGGGCTATTTTCTCCCCTGCTCGAATGTTCTTGGGATAGGTTCTCCCCCAATCGACTGTTTTTGGGCTAGGTTCTCCCCTGATCGATTGTTTTTTGGGCCATTTTCTCTCTCTTACCGACTGTTCTTGAGCTCTTTTCTCCTCTGAGTGAAGGTTCTTGGGCTATGTTCCCCTCTGATCGAATGTTCTTGAGCTATGTTCTCCCCTGATCAACTGTTCTTGGGCTATGTTCTCCTCTGATCGAATGTTCTTGGGCTATGTTCTCCCCTGATCAACTGTTCTTGGGCTATTTTCTCTCCTGATCGAATGTTCTTGGGCTATGTTCTCCCCTGATCAACTGTTCTTGGGCTATGTTCTCCTCTGATCGAATGTTCTTGGGCTATGTTCTCCCCTGATCAACTGTTCTTGGGCTATTTTCTCTCCTGATCGAATGTTCTTGGGCTATGTTCTCCCCTGATCAACTGTTCTTGGGATATTTCCTCCCCTGATCGAATGTTCTGAGCCTATTTGACGCGATTTTGCTTTCTGGTAAAATGTTCTTGGGCTATTTTTTTAACTAATTTTCTCTTCTGGCCAAATGTTGTTATGCTACTGTTTTAGGCAATTTTTTCTCCTGATCGAATGTTCTTGGGTTATTTTCTTCTCTGATCGACTGTTCTTGGGATATTTTCTCCCGTTTGACTGTTCTTGGGCTATTATCTCCTCTGATCGACTGTTCTTGGGATATTTTTCTCCCCCGTTTGACTGTTCTTGGGCTATTTTCTCCCCTAATCGAATGTTCTTGGGCTATTTGTAAGTAATTTTCGCTTCTGGACGAATGTTGTTAGGCTACTGTTTTAGGCTATTTTCCCTCCTGGTCGAATGTTCTTAGCCTAAGCCCATTTTTTCTTCAGGTTGAATGTTCTTAAGCTACGTTCCCTTACGATGAAAGGTTTGGATATTATCATTGTTACATTTCCTATCCCATTAATACAAGTGAATAGAAATCTTCCCAAAGTGAGGTGAGACCATTAGAAGATTTCGCCCCACCTCTTGTCTGGGTGGCACCACAGGAGGGGTAATTCCCCTCTTACAAAGTGGCCATTAGAACAAGAGTCCCTATTGGACGATTAACCCTCATTATCTGTCCACGGAACAGCGGGAAGTTGGGTGAAACCTCCAAAGTGAGAGAAAACAAATTTAAGTTTCCCATTGGTAGATTCCCATTTTTGTTTGTCAGAAGAAGCCAAGAAGTGGCCCCTTAGACCGTGGTCATCAGAGGAAGGCAAGACGTGGCCCCTTAGACTGTGGTCATCAGAGGAAGGCAAGACGTGGCCCCTTAGACAGTGGTCATCAGAGGAAGGCAAGACGTGCCCCCTTAGACAGTGGTCATCAGAAGAAGCCAAGAAGTGGCCCCTTAGACAGTGGTCATCAGAGGAAGGCAAGAAGTGGCCCCTTAGACAGTGGTCATCAGAGGAAGGCAAGACGTGCCCCCTTAGACAGTGGTCATCAGAGGAAGGCAAGAAGTGGCCCCTTAGACAGTGGTCATCAGAGGAAGGCAAGAAGTGGCCCCTTAGACAGTGGTCATCAGAGGAAGGCAAGAAGTGGCCCCTTAGACAGTGGTCATCAGAGGAAGGCAAGAAGTGGCCCCTTAGACAGTGGTCATCAGAGGAAGGACTCATATTGGAAGGTTCCCCTCACTCCCTATTCTTTTGCAAATGTAAAAAGTCGACTTTTCCATCATTTCCTATCCCAGTGACCACCATACAGGAGTCGCCCCCACCCACCTGTCCTCATGGGGACACCGACTGCTACGAAAACCTGTAAATGGCCTACCAAGAAGGCCAGACCGAAGATTTATGGGTCGAAAGTCTTTTAATATTACTGTTAGCTCATAAAAATACAACATGGACCAGCCAGCAGGTTTTGGGAACACCCCCCCCCCCCCCCTTTATCAGGGCTCATCAGGAGCCTGGAGGTTTGTTGAGTATTGGATGGCATGAAACTGGCACTGGGGGCTATATATATATGGGGGCTGGAGCTTTGTAGAAATCTAGGGGGACACTGTGGGGCTGAGGGACACTGTGGGACTGGAGACTCTGTAGCAATCTAGGGGGAACTGCAAGGTCTGGGAGACACTGTGGGGCTGAGGGACACCGTGGGACTGGAGACTCTGTAGCAATCTAGGGGGAACTGCAAGGTCTGGGAGACACTGTGGGGCTGAGGGACACTGTGGGACTGGAGACCCTGTAGCAATCTAGGGGGGACTGCATGGTCTGGGGGACACTGTGGGGCTGAGGGACACTGTGGGACTGGAGACCCTGTAGCAATCTAGGGGGAACTGCAAGGTCTGGGGGCACTGTGGGGCAGAGGGACACTGTGGGACTGGAGACTCTGTAGCAATCTATGGAGAACTGCAAGGTCTGGGGGACACTGTGGAGCTGAGGGACACCGTGGGACTGGAGACTCTGTAGCAATCTAGGGGTAACTGCAAGGTCTGGGGGACACTGGAGCTGAGGGACACCGTGGGACTGGAGACTCTGTAGCAATCTAGGGGGAACTGCAAGGTCTGGGAGACTCTGTGGGGCTGAGGGACACCGTGGGACTGGAGACTGTAGCAATCTAGGGGGAACTGCAAGGTCTGGGGGACACTGTGGGGCTGAGGGACACTGTGGGACTGGAGACCCTGTAGCAATCTAGGGGGGACTGCATGGTCTGGGGGACACTGTGGGGCTGAGGGACACTGTGGGACTGGAGACCCTGTAGCAATCTAGGGGGAACTGCAAGATCTGGGAGACACTGTGGGGCTGAGGGACACTGTGGGACTGGAGACTCTGTAGCAATCTAGGGGGAACTGCAAGGTCTGGGGGACACTGTGGGACTGGAGACCCTGTAGCAATCTAGGGGGGACTGCATGGTCTGGGAGACACTGTGGGGCAGAGGGACACTGTGGGACTGGAGACTCTGTAGCAATCTAGGGGGAACTGCAAGGTCTGGGAGACACTGTGGGGCTGAGGGACACCGTGGGACTGGAGACTCTGTAGCAATCTAGGGGGAACTGCAAGGTCTGGGAGACACTGTGGGGCTGAGGGACACTGTGGGACTGGAGACCCTGTAGCAATCTAGGGGGGACTGCATGGTCTGGGGGACACTGTGGGGCTGAGGGACACTGTGGGACTGGAGACCCTGTAGCAATCTAGGGGGAACTGCAAGGTCTGGGGGCACTGTGGGGCAGAGGGACACTGTGGGACTGGAGACTCTGTAGCAATCTAGGGGGAACAGCAAGGTCTGGGGGGCACTGTGGGGCAGAGGGACACTGTGGGACTGGAGACTCTGTAGCAATCTATGGAGAACTGCAAGGTCTGGGGGACACTGTGGAGCTGAGGGACACCGTGGGACTGGAGACTCTGTAGCAATCTAGGGGTAACTGCAAGGTCTGGGGGACACTGGAGCTGAGGGACACCGTGGGACTGGAGACTCTGTAGCAATCTAGGGGGGAACTGCAAGGTCTGGGGGACACTGTGGGACTGGAGACTCTGTAGCAATCTAGGGGGAACTGCAAGGTCTGGGAGACACTGTGGGGCTGAGGGACACCGTGGGACTGGAGACTGTAGCAATCTAGGGGGAACTGCAAGGTCTGGGGGACACTGTGGGGCTGAGGGACACTGTGGGACTGGAGACCCTGTAGCAATCTAGGGGGGACTGCATGGTCTGGGGGACACTGTGGGGCTGAGGGACACTGTGGGACTGGAGACCCTGTAGCAATCTAGGGGGGACTGCATGGTCTGGGAGACACTGTGGGGCAGAGGGACACTGTGGGACTGGAGACTCTGTAGCAATCTAGGGGGAACTGCAAGGTCTGGGAGACACTGTGGGGCTGAGCGACACTGTGGGACTGGAGACTGTAGCAATCTAGGGGGAACTGCAAGGTCTGGGAGACACTGTGGGGCTGAGGGACACCGTGGGACTGGAGACTCTGTAGCAATCTAGGGGGAACTGCAAGGTCTGGGAGACACTGTGGGGCTGAGGGACACTGTGGGACTGGAGACTCTGTAGCAATCTAGGGGGAACTGCAAGGTCTGGGGGACACTGTGGGGCTGAGGGACACCGTGGGACTGGAGACTGTAGCAATCTAGGGGGAACTGCAAGGTCTGGGGGACACTGTGGGGCTGAGGGACACTGTGGGACTGGAGACCCTGTAGCAATCTAGGGGGGACTGCATGGTCTGGGGGACACTGTGGGGCTGAGGGACACTGTGGGACTGGAGACCCTGTAGCAATCTAGGGGGGACTGCATGGTCTGGGAGACACTGTGGGGCTGAGGGACACCGTGGGACTGGAGACTCTGTAGCAATCTAGGAGGAACTGCAAGGTCTGGGAGACACTGTGGGGCTGAGGGACACACCGTGGGACTGGAGACTGTAGCAATCTAGGGGGAACTGCAAGGTCTGGGAGACACTGTGGGGCAGAGGGACACTGTGGGACTGGAGACTCTGTAGCAATCTAGGGGGAACAGCAAGGTCTGGGGAGCACTGTGGGGCAGAGGGACACTGTGGGACTGGAGACTCTGTAGCAATCTATGGAGAACTGCAAGGTCTGGGGGACACTGTGGAGCTGAGGGACACCGTGGGACTGGAGACTCTGTAGCAATCTAGGGGTAACGGCAAGGTCTGGGGGACACTGGAGCTGAGGGACACCGTGGGACTGGAGACTCTGTAGCAATCTAGGGGGAACTGCAAGGTCTGGGAGACACTGTGGGGCTGAGGGGGACACCGTGGGACTGGAGACTCTGTAGCAATCTAGGGGGAACTGCAAGGTCTGGGAGACACTGTGGGGCTGAGGGACACCGTGGGACTGGAGACTGTAGCAATCTAGGGGGAACTGCAAGGTCTGGGGGACACTGTGGGGCTGAGGGACACTGTGGGACTGGAGACCCTGTAGCAATCTAGGGGGAACTGCAAGATCTGGGAGACACTGTGGGGCTGAGGGACACTGTGGGACTGGAGACTCTGTAGCAATCTAGGGGGAACTGCAAGGTCTAGGGGACACTGTGGGGCTGAGGGACACTGTGGGACTGGAGACCTTGTAGCAATCTAGGGGGGACTGCATGGTCTGGGAGACACTGTGGGGCAGAGGGACACTGTGGGACTGGAGACTCTGTAGCAATCTAGGGGGAACTGCAAGGTCTGGGAGACACTGTGGGGCTGAGGGACACCGTGGGACTGGAGACTGTAGCAATCTAGGGGGAACTGCAAGGTCTGGGAGACACTGTGGGGCTGAGGGACACTGTGGGACTGGAGACTCTGTAGAAATCTAGGGGGAACTGCAAGGTCTGGGGGACACTGTGGGACTGGAGACTCTGTAGCAATCTAGGGGGAACTGCAAGGTCTGGGGGACACTGTGGGACTGGAGACTCTGCAGCAATCTAGGGGGAACTGCAAGGTCTGGGGGACACTGTGGGACTGGAGACTCTGCAGCAATCTAGGGGGAACTGCAAGGTCTGGGGGACACTGTGGGGCTGAGGGACACTGTGGGACTGGAGACTCTGTAGCAATCTAGGGGGGAACTGCAAGGTCTGGGGGACACTGTGGGACTGGAGACTCTGTAGCAATCTAGGGGGAACTGCAAGGTCTGGGGGACACTGTGGGACTTCGGTGAGCACTGTGGGGACTGACGGATCTTAGGGGGCCTGGGTCACCTTGAGAGGTTGAGGGGCTTAGCAGGCCACTGTAAAAAGGTTGGTTGGCACCATGAGAGCTGGGAGCCTCTGTGGGAGGTTAGGGGATCTGCAGCTACCTGGAGACCCAGGAGCAGAGAGTCCATGGCTAGAACCACTGCTCTAGATAAGGGCCACCCTGTTGAGAGCAGCCTCACCAGAGCTATTCCACTCCATATGAACTCAGTTGACGTTCTTCAACCATGGAACTTATGATCACTTGGATCCAGCACCTCTGATATACAATTCCGAGCTACGAAAATCAAGATTTTTCCTTATCTATCCAAAACTCACAGATTCTTTGGTACACAATTCACGTGTAACGCATGAAAGGAGGGCAGTGAGATAGGACATTCAGCATGGTTGGTGCTGAGCCAAGCTGTCCCTGTCCATTCACTGCAATGTCATCTCTTTGTTCAGTGTGGGAAAGTCCGTCCTCTGCCAGGGAGAAACTGTATCAGACGAGGGGAGATCGGGATTATCCTGAATGTCTGCAGGATTCTTTCCTGGATCACGAACAGGGCCTCCTAAGTACCATAAGCTCTAAGAAGATTTATTATTGAATACAAATATTCTTGTGCGTGGCCCCCCAACTGGGCTTTACGAGCTAGGGTCTAGCGGGGTAAGTGGGAGCCATATAGGAGTACACAATTAAAGGCTCTGCCCAACTAAAGCTAAGGGTTCAGAGTTTGGTGGGTGCTGGAAAGTTCAAATGTATCTAAAGAAAAAAAAGTGTTTTTCTAGTTTTGGGTAGAGTGGGGGAAGGGTGTGAACCTCATTTAGGTGTTTATTACTCTTTGTTTTCCCACTGGGAATATTCACCTGGCTTCCATTGGCACAAAGTGGGATGGGAAAGCTCAATTGTTACTGTTGTCACCGAAAAGGAATCAAGGAGAAATCTTCCAATGCGGCCATTGTTGTTCCAGTGATAAATGTCTATGTGGGCATTTGCTTCTCATTTCCTGTTGCGTGAGATTTCTGTGTGGCGTTCCTGAGTCTTTACACCTGTTGCACCCATTAAGCAGGACTCCCACCATGCTTGCACTGAGTTTCCCGGTTTGTAAACCTGTTGTGCCCTATTTGAGGGACCTTAAGCACCCCTACGCTGAGTTCTTGGGTCTGCACACCTGCTTTGCCAATAATGGGGGGTTCCGACCATCGCTGCACTTAGTTCCTGGGTCAACACAACTGTTATGCGCATTATGAGATCTGAGATGAGTTTCTGGGTCTTTACATCTGCTTTGCTCATTATGAGGAGCATCCAATATGCCTGTGCTGCGTTTTTAGGTCTACACCCGTCCCTGTGCTGAGTTCTTGGGTCTGTACACCTGCTGTGCCCATTATGAGGGGTTCCTACCATACCTGTGCAGAGTTCCCGGGTCTGTACACCCGTTGTGCCCATTATGAGGGGTTCCTACCATACCTGTGCAGAGTTCCCGGGTCTGTACACCCGTTGTGCCCATTATGAGGGGTTCCTACCATACCTGTGCAGAGTTCCCGGGTCTGTACACCCGTTGTGCCCATTATGAGGGGTTCCTACCATACCTGTGCAGAGTTCCCGGGTCTGTACACCCGTTGTGCCCATTATGAGGGGTTCCTACCATACCTGTGCAGAGTTCCTGGGTCTGTACACCCGTTGTGCTCATTTTGAGATGTTCTCACCATCCCTGTGCTGAGTTCCCGGGTCTACACAACTGCCCTGTCCATTATGAGGGGTTCCCACCATCCCATATGCTGCGTTCTTGGGTCTGTACACCTGCTTTGCCCATTATGAGGTGTTCCCACCATCCCTGTGCTGAGTTCCCGGGTCTGTACACCCGCTGTACCCATTATGAGGGTTCTCACCATACCTGTGCTGAATTCTGGGTCTGCACACATGGTTTGCCCATTATGTGATGTTCCCACCATCCCTGTGCTGAGTTCCCGTGTCTACACAACTGCTGTGTCCATTAAGAGGGATTTCTGCCATGTCTGTGCTGAGTTTCCAGGTGTGTATACCTGCTGTGCCCATTATGAGGGGTTCCAACCATCCCTGTGCTGAGTTCCCAGGTCTGTACACCTGCTGTGCCCATTATGAGGAGTTCCCACCATCCCTATGCTGAGTTCTTGGATCTGTACACCTGCTGTGCCCATTATGAGGGGTTCTCACCATACCTGTGCTAAGTTCTGGGTCTGCACACATGCTTTGCCCATTATGAGATGTTCCCACCATACCTGTGCTAAGTTCTGGGTCTGCACACCTGCTGTGCCCATTATGAGGGGTTCCCACCATCCCTATGCTGAGTTCTTGGATCTGTACACCTGCTGTGCCCATTATGAGGGGTTCTCACCATACCTGTGCTAAGTTCTGGGTCTTCACACATGCTTTGCCCATTATGAGATGTTCCCACCATCCATGTGCTGAGTTCCCAGGTCTACACAACTGCTGTGTCCATTTTGAGGGATTTCCACCATGTCTGTGCTGAGTTCCCATGTCTGTATACCTGATGTGCCCATTATGAGATGTTCCCACCATCCCTACAGAATGTATTATTTATTTTATACTATGGAGAATGTAACAGTAGGATTCAGAAAATGCAAAGGTAGCCGGAGAACACCCAACATTCCCAGACAAGATGGACACAGAGTTGTGAAGATGGGGAGAACTCTCTCTAAGCGTCCCCAACAGTTATTAGAAGCCAGGGGGTGATTCAGCTCTCCAGCCTCCATTGGCAATTCCCGACAACACAACAGAAGTTGTCACTAAAAGAGATGTTCCCTTTGAAAGATTTCCCCTTGCCTCCTGTTCTGGTGTCAGCTCTGCTTTCTGTGCTGGTAACCATGGTCATCAGGACACCTACAGAAGGTGGATCTTCCCATTGGGTTTTTCTGGCATTCAACCTTAATCTTACACCTGAAAGTCTCACCTGAATTTTGTTAACGTGTTCCGTCTTCTGGAGGACAGAGCACTTGTCCCACCTTTCTGTGTGCTGTCCAAGGCTAGCTGTGAGGTTGGACAGGGCGCCCCCTCCTCCCTCCACCGCCATCCAACAACGTAGCTAACAAAGAGACAGCTGATTTGGCAGATGGCACTTTTCTCTGCCTTCAAGCACTTGCCCGAAACGAGCATCTCCCAAGGAATGCAGGAGTAAGGGGGCACAACAGCTAAAGTGTTTCAGGCAAGCAGGCAAGTACTTGGAGATGAAGAGAACAGTGCCATTTTGTCGAAAAAGCCATCTTCTTGGTAGCTACATGGTTGGATGGTGGGAGGAGGGGTGCCCTGTTGAACCTCACATCTAGCCTCTAGGAGGAAGCCCTATAGGAAGATGGGACAACAAACTACATGTACTTCATCCCCTAGAGAACAGAACACATGATTCAAAATGGAAGTGAGATGTCTTCTTTAATGATGGTGTAGCACCCTGCTAGTTAGGTCCCTAGGGTGATGGGTAAATGTAGCTCTTTCTGGCTCCTCTGTAATCAGTGGAGCAGTTATTGATTCCTTTGGGTTGTTCTAGATCTCACAGGCTGCAGGTTTGATTGCTTCCCACTGCATTCTGGAGGCTTACAGAACATAGAGGGCTTGGAGAGTCGAATGGGCAGCTTGAATATTTAGTGTGCCTCCGCCAATCCCTTGGAAGGTGTGCCCCAGTAGGTGGCTGGAGAGAACATAAATGGTATAGGGGTCTGGAGAAGCCTTGTCTTGTCCTATTGGAGAAGTCTCAAGCCTCAGGAACTGCTGCCCCTTTGAGGCAATCCTGCTGGTGTCTGTTGAAGTTCATCAAGGTCCCAGCTAATTAAGTACTTTATCTGGTGAACTCTCCGAGGAACGCCTGGTGGAAGCTGGGAGGTGCAGCAGCTCTGGGACACTGAGTACCCAAGCTCAAGATTCCAATGACCGTGTGCTCTTTTGTTTTTGGGGTGCCAAGGCTAGCTTTTTCGGGGACAGCTCCTTCAGGGCCTTAGTCCTGGCCTTCCCCTTTGCTCCTGGCTTAAAAGACTGTTCAAAGACGTTTCACCTAGTGAAGTGTGTCCTCCTGTTGCCAGTCAACATTTTTGGAGTAGCCCATACCACCCCAACCCCTCTCCTGTTACAGTTCTACAAGCAATGAATTTTAAAGCGGAGTTCCACCCAAATGGGAAGTTCCGCTTTAAAGACTGGTCCCCAGCTCTCCATTAAGGATTGGCACCTTTGGGGAACGGGTACCCGAAATTGACAGGTACCCTCTCCCATTTCCGCTGCGAACGCCTAGGCGATCGGAAGCGGAAGTTGTCCTCCTACCCTCCCTCCCCGTAGTCTTCTGGGACACGTGACAGGGCCTAGAAGACCACGGGGCCATTCAGGAAGCGCATCGCTACTCGTGCAAGTGCAGTGGGCACCCGGCTGTAAAACCGCAAGCTGTCGCAGCCGGTGCCCACACTGAAGATGCCGGCACCTGGAACACAGGACACCCGGTGAAACTGGCTGCGGGGAGGACACCGCGGGATTGTGGGACAGGTGAGTGGCTGTTTTTTAAAAGTCAGCAGCTACAGTTTTTGTAGCTGCTGACTATTATTTTTTTTACCGTGTGAGTGGAACTCCGCTTTAAAAAGACCTCCCCTAGACCTGCCTTTCTCAACCTTTTCAACACAGAGGAACCCTTGAAATTACTTTCCGGTCTCAGGGAGCCTGCTAAAAATGACTATATCTACAGATCACGATACATTAGTGTGATGGCCAGTGGTAAGTATGTTAGTTACCCTTGTGGACATTGGGAAGAATTACTAACTTACAGATAGCTCTGTGGCACCAGTGGGAATGTATCTGAGAGGCAGAAATTGCTCATTGGTCAAGGAAACCCTAGCAACTTCTGGAGGAACCTTTGGGTTTCATAGAACCCTGGTTGAGAAACCCTGTGCCCTAGACTGTCTTATGAGGCCAAAGGGAATGGACTGTTGCTTGCTTGATGGGTAGCCACTGCACTGTTTGGGGAAGAACCAGTTAAGTCCAGCAGCTCATACGGGGGTAGCACTACAGTGGGTATGCTTGGGTCTGTTCTCGCCAAAGTAATTCAACTCGATACACTGTTTTGGACCAGTTGTTTGCATTTCTCTACGAGGTTTTGGCACTTTAACAGCTTCTTGTGTCAAAACAATATCCTTCTTTTCTACTAACATTTCAAACTGAATCCTCACCAGATCACCATAATGAAGGAACTTTGTTGTCTCTAATACCGTATTAGAGGTTTTTCTGGAATGTGTATCTATTGGAGATGGAAGAATTTTTTGCCCGTTCCAGGTTGGACATTAACACGGTTATCCTTTGTACCGTAATTAGAACTTGTTAACTAATGGAGAAAAAAAAAAATCAAAAACAACCACAAGAAAGGAAGAAAAACTTTTGCTGTTGTGAAACCTAAAAGCAACGGCTAACATAGAGCTGTAAGCTGTAGAGCAAAGTTCTGCGAGGGTCCTTTGTACACCTGTCAATGTTACTGGTGACTCTTTTGTGTAATGTGATGGTATTATTGGAGGTTCAATGATCCTTTCATGGTCGTATATTGCTTTTACAAACGAGGACGATGTAATGAGTAAAACTGATGAAGCTCAAAGTACAAGTGGTCACCAAAGCTTACGAGAGTAACAATCTGGGATAATGATTGCCTTTTATTAATACCATCTATTAGGGAAGTCCACGGGAGGGCTGGGACAGAGAAATGTATTGTTTAAAAGGATTTTTTCCATGTAAAAGGGTTTATTTTTTGAATGCCAATAGTGACAGAGGATGTTGGCTAAACTTCAGGAATTTTGTTAAAAAATACTCTGGCCCCATCCCCTTCCCACACACTGAAAGGGTTAAATGCTTGTTAAAGAGGAACATTGTAAAAAAATTAAAACTCTTACCAGCTCACAGAGTCGGAACTGTCTTGCCAAGACCTGTATTCTTTGCTAGGCTTCAGTGCACCAGTGCTGCCATCTTGGATATGGGAGTTGGCTGTGACTTCCTAGAGCAGGGTTTGTCAGCCAGGGTTCCATGGAACACTAGGGTTCCTCCAGAGGTTGTTAGGGGTTCCTTGAGCAATGAGCAATCTCTGCCTCTCAGATAAGTTCCCACTGATCTTGGATATGGGAGTTGGCTGTGACTTACTAGAGCAGGGTTTCTCAGCCAGGGTTCCATGGAACCCTAGGGTTCCTTCAGAGGTTTCCAGGGGTTCCTTGAGCAATGACCAATCTCTGCCTCTCAGATAAGTTCCAACTGATCTTGGATATGGGAGTAGGCTGTGACTTACTAGAGCAGGGTTTCTCAGCCAGGGTTCCTTCAGAGGTTTCCAGGGGTTCCTTGAGCAATGAGCAATCTCTGCCTCTCAGATAAGTTCCAACTGATCTTGGATATGGGAGTAGGCTGTGACTTCCTAGAGCAAGGTTTCTCAGCCAGGGTTCCATGGAACACTAGGGTTCCTTCAGAGGTTGTTAGGGGTTCCTTGAGCAATGGGTAATCTCTGCCTCTCAGATAAGTTCCCACTGATCTTGGATATGGGAGTTGGCTGTGACTTCCTATAGCAGGGTTTCTCAGCCAGGGTTCCTTCAGAGGATTCCAGGGGTTCCTTGAACAATGAGCAATGTTAGCCTCTCAGATAAGTTCCCACTGACACCATTGATCTTTCATCTATCTTTCATCTATCTTGTAAGGAGGTAATTCTTTTCAATGACCACAAGTGTAAGGAGCATTCTTACCATGATCATCACACTAATGTATCATGAGTTGTACATATAGTAATTTTTAGCAGGGGTTCCCTGAGACCGGAAAGTTATTTTACAGAGACCCTCTGTGTTGAATAGGTTGAGAAAGGCTGTCCTAGAGTTTCACAGCCAGTACCCCGCTGCGCATGTGTGATACTGGTCCGGTAGCCTCCTAGGCAATGTGGCGTGCCCCAGGAGGCTATGGGCAGGAAGTGAGGTTGGCCGGGGTTGGGAGACTCCGAGCTGATGCACTTCTCACCTGGGCGAGGATTGAGGGATTGGAAGTAGGTATCTGTCATAAAAGTCTAGTGCTACCCCTGAAGGGGCCCCTGGTATTATCTGGATCTTTTCTAACAGTACAGAGGCTGCCAGTCACCCAAGCACAAGTCCACACACTCCAGCTAGAATGAATCGGTCTGGAGGTTATTGTTTTTGCAGTTTATTGCTTGTAAACATTAACAGGAGAAGGGGGGGGGGGGTTAGGGCATGGGATATTCCAAAATGCCCCCAGCACTTAGTGACCAGAGGACAATCTTCTCCTTAAGTCAACATGAATGTTGAACATTTCACACACACCCCCACGCTGAGGACCATGAAGCAAGTATTATTGGCATTCGGTTACCTTGCACTGATGCACAACTGTTGGTACCCAGTGCAGTTTCCGAACACTTCATGATCACAGGGATCAGGTTAGAGCAGGGGTCTCCAAGCTATGGCCCTCCAGGAGTTGAGGAACTGCAAGTCCCATGAGGCCTTGCAAGATTCTGACAGCCACAGGCAAGACTCCCAGAAGCAGACGCATGAGGGGGACTTGTAGTACTTCAACAGCTGGAGGGCCATAGTTTGGAGACCTCTGGTTTAGAGTCATTAATCACAAGTCCCCAGGACAGCTGCCACTTTCCACCTTCCTCCAGACATGGTCCAGTGAGTGAAAGAGCACCTTTCCTGACCAGGTCCCTGGTGGTGGGGTTCTGTAACCAGCTTCAAGCAGAGTCCATACAGGCCTTCAGCCCTGACACCGCTGAAGCCTCTAAAGCAGTTGTACAGTCCATGGGATGCCCCAGTACAGTAGCCCCTCTGGCTCTGGGACCGTCCTGAGGAGAAGGAACCCAGACTTGTCTCAGACTATTTATCATCATTCAAGTCCCCTTCTGGACACTTATCTCCAGGGACTGGCTGGAGCATGATACATTTTGAGGCTGGTTGTCTAGAATCTCCAGCCCTGAACTCTGGAAATTTCTTCCAGAGACAGGGGGAAGAAATCAAACTCCCAACTTATGAATCCCTGAACAGACTAGAACACACAATTACTGCTCCCTTAATTGAAAATGGTGTCTGAGCCATGGTTTTATCGCCTGCCTGAACCTGGGCATGTAGCCATGAAGGGCTGTACACATGCTGTAGCTTTACAGCTTGGGCAAAAATTGCACAGCATGCCAGGCTGCCACAGGAGACCAACACAAGTCAATGGGCCCATGCCATAACCCTATGCAATGCATGCGATTCAAAACAATGCCCCCACCATACCCTACGAAGAGCGATCCAACGCAGATTGCTCTTCAGAGGGCTCCTAAAGTGACCCTTTTCTTCATCCATGGCTATGGACTTGCAGGGTTATTCACATGCACGCTGCGGGTTTATACAAATTCCCCCTCTGGCACCAAAGAAATGTCAAGTCATGAAAACATCGAAGGGACGACTTCCCCCTCTGGGTAAATGGCATAATTTTAATGTCTCCATGCTGCCACCAGAATTCTGGTAAAGGGAGCAGGGCATCCGATGGAAGATGTCCCGGGAGTGACTTCTTCCCTGTTCCAGGAAAGCTGATGCACCCAGTGCTCATGATAGATAGGTCACTGAGGTGACAACCGACCACACAGCTAAGGAATGATGCCTTCAGGCTAAGTGAAGGTACTGAACTTCCGGTCTTCATGGGAAAGCGTTAGCAGTTGACACCACCGTCACCGGCCAGTCTGTTAGTTGGGAGCAGGGGAGCTCCTTGAAATCCTAGCCTGTGGGGCTGTGTGTTTTTCTATTGATGCACACAGTGTAGGGAGACACTACTCTAGTCCCTGCATGCAAGGGTGGCTCCATAGAATGTTGCAAAAGAAAGGAGACACCCTTAAACAGGGAGCCGGGGACGTTCACTCTCTTTTTTTTGTCCTGCTGACCACTGTTAATGGCATCGGGAATTATGGGAAATGTAAAATGTTACAATTGTCCCCAGAACAGGAAAAAGAAGGGAAATCTTCCAATTGGGGGTCGACTGTTCAAGAACCACTAAAAAAGGATTTACGATACTTTAGAGAGATTTTCCTAGAATTCCTGTTGTGTCTACAAGATAGGAAGTGAAGGGAAATCTCCCCACTGGGATGTAGGGATTATTTTCAATTCAAGGTACAGGAATTTGGATAATCTGAGGTCTGGAGGTGCAGGAATGGGGAGATCTGAATTGCGAAGGTGAAGGAACTGAGGAGATCTGAGGGGTGAAGGTGCAGGAACTGAGGAGATCTGAGGTATGAAAGTGCGGGAATTGGGATGATCTGAGGTGTGAAGGTGAAAGAATTGGGGTGACCTGAGGTGTGAAGGTGCAGGAATTCAGAATGATCTGAGGTATGAAGCTGCAGGAACTGGGGAGATCTGAGGTGTGGAGGTGCAGGAAATGGGGTGATCTGAGGTGTGAAGGTGCAGGAATTTGGGATAATCTGAGGTATGAAGGTGCAGGAATTGGGGTGATCTGAGGTGTGAAGGTTCAGGAATTGGGGTGATCTGAGGTGTGAAGGTTCAGGAATTGGGGTGATCTGAGGTGTGAAGGTGCAGGAATTGGAGTGATCTGAGGTGTGAAGGTGCAGGAATTGGGGTGATCTGAGGTGTGAAGGTGCAAGAATCAGGGTGATCTGAGGTGGGAAAGTGCAGGAATTGGAGTGATCTGAGGTGTGAAGGTGCAGGAATTTGGTATGATCTGAGGTGTGAAGGTGCAGGAATTGGAGTGATCTGAGGTGTGAAGGTGCAGGAATTCAGAATGATCTGAGGGGTGAGGGTGCAGGAAATGGAGTGATCTGAGGTGTGAAGGTGCAAGAATCAGGGTGATCTGAGGTGGGAAAGTGCAGGAATTGGAGTGATCTGAGGTGTGAAGGTGCAGGAATTGGAGTGATCTGAGATGTGAAGGTGCAGGAATTGGAGTGATCTGAGGTGTGAAGGTACAAGAATCAGGGTGATCTGAGGTGTGAAGGTGCAGGAATTGGGCTGATCTGAGGTGTGAAGGTGCAGGAATTGGGCTGATCTGAGGTGTGAAGGTGCAGGAATTGGGCTGATCTGAGGTGTGAAGGAACAGGAATTGGAGTGATCTGAGGTGTGAAGGTGCAGGAATTGGAGTGATCTGAGGGGTGAGGGTGCAAGAAGTGGAGTGATCTGAGGTGTGAAGGTGCAAGAATCAGGGTGATCTGAGGTGGGAAAGTGCAGGAATTGAAGTGATCTGAGGTGTGAAGGTGCAGGAATTGGGGTGATCTGAGGTGTGAAGGTTCAGGAATTGGGGTGATCTGAGGTGTGAAGGTTCAGGAATTGGGGTGATCTGAGGTGTGAAGGTGCAGGAATTGGAGTGATCTGAGGTGTGAAGGTGCAGGAATTGGGGTGATCTGAGGTGTGAAGAAGTGCAAGAATCAGGGTGATCTGAGGTGGGAAAGTGCAGGAATTGGAGTGATCTGAGGTGTGAAGGTGCAGGAATTTGGTATGATCTGAGGTGTGAAGGTGCAGGAATTGGAGTGATCTGAGGTGTGAAGGTGCAGGAATTCAGAATGATCTGAGGGGTGAGGGTGCAGGAAATGGAGTGATCTGAGGTGTGAAGGTGCAAGAATCAGGGTGATCTGAGGTGGGAAAGTGCAGGAATTGGAGTGATCTGAGGTGTGAAGGTGCAGGAATTGGAGTGATCTGAGATGTGAAGGTGCAGGAATTGGAGTGATCTGAGGTGTGAAGGTACAAGAATCAGGGTGATCTGAGGTGTGAAGGTGCAGGAATTGGGCTGATCTGAGGTGTGAAGGTGCAGGAATTGGGCTGATCTGAGGTGTGTGAAGGTGCAGGAATTGGGCTGATCTGAGGTGTGAAGGAACAGGAATTGGAGTGATCTGAGGTGTGAAGGTGCAGGAATTGGAGTGATCTGAGGGGTGAGGGTGCAAGAAGTGGAGTGATCTGAGGTGTGAAGGTGCAAGAATCAGGGTGATCTGAGGTGGGAAAGTGCAGGAATTGAAGTGATCTGAGGTGTGAAGGTGCAGGAATTGGAGTGATCTGAGATGTGAAGGTGCAGGAATTGGAGTGATCTGAGGTGTGAAGGTGCAAGAATCAGGGTGATCTGAGGTGTGAAGGTGCAGGAATTGGGGTGATCTGAGGTGTGAAGGTGCAGGAATTGGGCTGATCTGAAGTGTGAAGGTGCAGGAATTGGGCTGATCTGAGGTGTGAAGGAGCAGGAATTGGAGTGATCTGAGGTGTGAAGGTGCAGGAATTGGAGTGATCTGAGGGGTGAGGGTGCAGGAAATGGAGTGATCTGAGGTGTGAAGGTGCAAGAATCAGGGTGATCTGAGGTGGGAAAGTGCAGGAATTGAAGTGATCTGAGGTGTGAAGGTGCAGGAATTGGAGTGATCTGAGGTGTGAAGGTGCAAGAATCAGGGTGATCTGAGATGTGAAGGTGCAGGAATTGGGGTTGATCTGAGGTGTGAAGGTGCAGGAATTGGGCTGATCTGAGGTGTGAAGGTGCAGGAATTGGGCTGATCTGAGGTGTGAAGGAGCAGGAATTGGAGTGATCTGAGGTGTGAAGGTGAAGGAATTGGGGTGATCTGAGGTGTGAAGGTGAAGGAATTGGGGAGATCTGATGTATCAAGGTGATCTTAGGTGTGAAGGTGCAAGAATCAGGGTGATCTGAGGTGTGAAGGTGAAGGAATTCAGAATGATCTGAGGGGTGAGGGTGCAGGAATTGGAGTGATCTGAGATGTGAAGGTGCAGGAATTGGAGTGATCTGAGGTGTGAAGGTGCAAGAATCAGGGTGATCTGAGGTGTGAAGGTGCAGGAATTGGGGTGATCTGAGGTGTGAAGGTGCAGGAATTGGGCTGATCTGAGGTGTGAAGGTGCAGGAATTGGGCTGATCTGAGGTGTGAATGAGCAGGAATTGGAGTGATCTGAGGTGTGAAGGTGCAGGAATTGGAGTGATCTGAGGGGTGAGGGTGCAGGAAATGGAGTGATCTGAGGTGTGAAGGTGCAAGAATCAGGGTGATCTGAGGTGGGAAAGTGCAGGAATTGAAGTGATCTGAGGTGTGAAGGTGCAGGAATTGGAGTGATCTGAGATGTGAAGGTGCAGGAATTGGATTGGAGTGATCTGAGGTGTGAAGGTGCAAGAATCAGGGTGATCTGAGGTGTGAAGGTGCAGGAATTGGGTTGATCTGAGGTGTGAAGGTGCAGGAATTGGGCTGATCTGAGGTGTGAAGGTGCAGGAATTGGGCTGATCTGAGGTGTGAAGGAGCAGGAATTGGAGTGATCTGAGGTGTGAAGGTGAAGGAATTGGGGTGATCTGAAGTGTGAAGGTGAAGGAATTGGGGAGATCTGATGTATCAAGGTGATCTTAGGTGTGAAGGTGCAAGAATCAGGGTGATCTGAGGTGTGAAGGTGAAGGAATTCAGAATGATCTGAGGGGTGAGGGTGCAGGAATTGGAGTGATCTGAGGTGTGAAGGTGCAAGAATCAAGGTGATCTGAGGTGTGAAGGTGCAGGAATTCGGGATGATCTGAGGAGTGAAGGTGCAGGAACTGAAGTGATCTGAGGTGTGAAGGTGCAGGAATTGGGGTGGACTGAGATGTGAAGGTGCAGGAATTGGGGTGGACTGAGATGTGAAGGTGCAGGAATTGGGGTGGACTGGGATGTGAAGGTGCAGGAATTGGGGTGGACTGGGATGTGAAGGTGCAAGAATTGGGGTGGACTGAGATGTGAAGGTGCAGGAATTGGGGTGAGCTGAGGTGTGAAGGATCAAGAATTGGGTTGTTGCTTGTAAATTGAAAGTGTACAACTAGGTGGGATTTGGACATGAACCCCACAAAGCCGATGCGTTGTGGGGTTCAGCTTGGCAATCCTTAGTCCCCGAAACACATTGGCTTCATGCGCACTTTCCATCTGATTCTACATTGGAGTAAACCTGTTTCTGGGCTACAACATTATGGTGTGGCCCTCCAATCCTGAACCCAATCTTCCTTGTATGTCAGGCAGGACACTGACCATCGGAGGTCTGTAGTAGAGCGTTCACTCTCTCTGAGGTGATATAATCACGAGGGACACTATTTATATTCTCTTTCACTCATTCTTTCATTTTTTGCTACAATTTTATACCATGAAATAGTTAATTCCACAAAACGAACCCGTACCGGCGATAACACCGAGATCTCTCCATTCTGAAGCGATAAATGTCACCAAAAGAACATTGTGATGTCACACTTGCTTGGCACGGCTGATGGAGAACAACATTCACCGATGTCTGTGTGAAAAATGTTTTATTGTGAATTAAATAAAAATGATTCAAAAAGAAAAGCCTGAGCTCAGGGATGAAATCAAAAGTCTGATGTTTTGTTTTTTTTTTATAAGTCAGTGCTGTCTGCTAACACCTATTTTGTTTTCTCTTTTGTTTCAGGAGCCTCGTGGTCCTACACAGGTGAGCGCCTTTTCTGTTATCCATTTCGGATCCATTCGTTAAGTTACTCATTTTGTTTAGTTGAATTCGTAACGAAATTTGTTTCCTTTCGCTTATTCGTTTTCAACCAGATTCATATTTTTCCAGTGGATTGAAATCAAATCGAATTCGAATTGAAACAAATTTATTGTCGAGAATAGCTGGTTCTATTCTATTTGGAATTTGACAGTCATATTCTTTCTATTCTATTCTAATCTATTATAACTGTAATTCTATTTTCTATTCTTTTCCTTTATTTTTTATTTTATAATCTGTTCTTTTCTTTTCCTTTATTTTCTATTATATTTTAATATTTTCTATTCTATTTTATTTTATATTCTGTTCTATTCTTTTCTATTCCTTTATTTTCTATTATATTTTAATATTTTCTATTCTATTCTCTATTTCTTTTTTTTCTTCTACTCTTATTTTCTTTTCATTTTCTATTCTATTTTATTTTTTTTTTTTTATATTCTGTTCTATTCCTTTATTTATTTTATTTCAGGTACTTATATAGCGATATCAATTTACACCGCACTTCACGTGTATATTGTACATTCACATCAGTCCCTAACCCTCAAGGGGCGTACAATCTAAGGTCCCTAACCCTCAAGGGGCATACAATCTAAGGTCTCTAACCCTCAAGGGGTGTACAATCTAAGGTCTCTAACCCTCAAGGGGTGTACAATCTAAGGTCCCTAACCCTCAAGAGGCATACAATCTAAGGTCCCTGACCCTCAAGGGGTGTACAATCTAAGGTTCCTGACCCTCAAGGGGCATACAATCTAAGGTTCCTGACCCTCAAGGGGCGTACAATCTAAGGTCCCTAACTCACACATACACATACTAGAGACAATTTTAGAGAGAAACCAATTAACCTACCAGCATGTCTTTGGAGTGTAGGAGGAAACCGGAGTACCCGGAGGAAACCCATGCACTCATAGGGAGAACATGCAAATTCTAGGCAGGTGGTGCCGTGGTTGGGATTCGAACCAACGACCCCAGTATTGCCAGGCGGAAGTGCTAACCATTTAGCCACTGTGTATTTTCAATTCTATTTTTTATTTTCTATTCTTTTCTATTCCTTTATGTTCTATTCTATTTTATTCAAATCTATTATAACTATAATTCAATTTTTTTCTATTATATTTTTTATTTTCTTCTCTGTTCTATTCTTTTCTATTCCTTTATTTTCTATTCTATTTTATTCTATTCTTTTATTTTCTATTCTGTTCTATTATTTTATATTCCTTTATTTTCTGTTCTATTTTATATTTTCTATTCTGTAGAGACCTGGGAACTCAGCACAGGGATGGCGGGAACCCCTCATAATGGGCACAGCGGGTGTACAGACCCGGGAACTCAGCACAGGGATGGCGGGAACCCCTCATAATGGGCACAGCGGGTGTACAGACCCGGGAACTCAGCACAGGGATGGTGGGAACCCCTCATAATGGGCACAGCGGGTGTACAGTCCTGGGAACTCAGCACAGGGATGGCGGGAACCCCTCATAATGGGCACAGCGGGTGTACAGACCCGAAAACTCAGCACAAGGATGGTGGAAACCCCTCATAATGGGCACAGCGGGTGTACAGACCCCAGAACCCAGCACAAGGATGGTGGAAACCCCTCATAATGGGCACAGCGGGTGTACAGACCCCAGAACCCAGCACAAGGTTGGTGGAAACCCCTCATAATGGGCACAGAGGGTGTACAGACCCCAGAACCCAGCACAAGGTTGGTGGAAACCCCTCATAATGGGCACAGCGGGTGTACAGACCCCAGAACTTAGCACAAGGATGGTGGAAACCCCTCATAATGGGCACAGCAAGTGTACAGACCCGGGAACTCAGCACAGGGATGGAGGGAACCCCTCGTAATGGGCACAGCGGGTGTACAGACCTGGGAACTCAGCACAGGGATGGCGGGAACCCCTCATAATGGGCACAGCGGGTGTACAGACCTGGGAACTCAGCACAGGGATGGCGGGAACCCCTCATAATGGGCACAGCGGGTGTACAGACACGGGAACTCAGCACAGGGACAGTGGGAACCCCTCATAATGCCTTCCAGGATCTCTTAAAGTCGTATTCCCTGTTACAACCCGCCCGTTATCTCCCCTGACCCTCCCTATGTGGACAGAGTTCTTCTCCTTCCATACAGGGACTATATCTGGTGCCGGATTATATTTAGGACACCCTTGTGAAGGTGAACCGTTTTTGGAGCCGGACTGAAATTCCCAGGCCGGTGATATGATTGTTGAAGAGGCAGCTTGTCTCCTCCTGCGGGTCCCCATACAGGTCACTGTGGCCTTTATCTCCTGACTTCACATTAACATAGGAAAAGGTTCATTGAAATGCAAATAAGCCCCTTCCTTTACATTGTAAATCCCTCCAGGGTGACATCATCATGCACAATGCAGGAATCCTGGGCAGGGGGGAGGGGAGGGGGGGTCATTAACTCATTTTCTGAGGTCACTAAAGTGAGAGTGATGACTGCGGTGACACCTTTTATTGCCGGCTATTCTCCCAGGAGTTCCAGGCATTTCGAGGATGAGATTGCGTCATTGTTCTGCGCTTCTCAAATTCACGCCTGGAAGGTTTTTCATTCCAAAATGTATCCATTGATTTAATTAAAAAAAACACATTTATAACAGACGCCTATATATTAAATGTATTTGTACTTATAGCTAGCTGTATATATTGGAATTGATATTAGCTTCACAGCAGCACTCAGACTGGGAGAAGGAGAAGCAGAACTAGGAGCCGAAATTTGAATTTCAAAAAGAATAGAATACAGTAAAACAATAGAATAGGAAATAAAGAAATAGAAAAAAAAAAAAATAAATAGATTAGAAATGAATAGAATAGAAAATAAAATAATGGAATAGAATAAAAAAAAATAGAATAGAATAAAATAGAAAGAATATAGCAGTCTTCCGAAATTTGAATTTTGAAAAGAATAGAATAAAATAGAATAGAAAATAAAGGAATAGAATAGAAAGAAAAATAATAGAAAATAGAAGAATAGAATAAAAAAAGGATAAAATAGATTAAAATAGAAAGAATATAGCAGTCTTCCGAAATTTGAATTTCAAAAAGAATAGAATACAATAAAACAGAATAGAAAATAAAGAAATAGAATAAAAAAATAAATAGACTATTATTATTATTACACAGTATTTATATAGTGCCAACAGTTTGCTCAACGCTGTACATTACAAAGGGACTAGAAATGAATAGAATAGAAAATAAAACAATAGAATAGAATAAAAAAAAAAAAAGATATAATAGAATAAAATAGAATATAGCAGTCTTCGGAAATGTGAATTTCAAAAAGAATAGAATAAAATAATGTAGAAAATTAAGGAATAGAACAGAAAAAGAATATAATAGAAAATAAAAGAATAAAATTAAAAAAAGGATAAAATAGATTAAAATAGAATATAGCAGTCTTCCGAAATTTGAATTTCAAAAAGAATAGAATACAATAAAACAATAGAATAGAAAAAAAATAAAGAAATAGAATAAAAAAAAATAAATAGATTAGAAATGAATAGAATAGAAAATAAAATAATGGAATAGAATAAAAAAAATAGAATAGAATAAAATAGAAATAATATAGCAGTCTTCTGAAATCTGAATTTTGAAAAGAATAGAATAAAATAGAATAGAAAATAAAGGAATAGAAAATAAAAGAATAGAATAAAAAAAGGATAAAATAGATTAAAATAGAAAGAATATAGCAGTCTTCCGAAATTTGAATTTCAAAAAGAATAGAATACAATAAAACAGAATGGAAAATAAAGAAATAGAATTAAAAAAAAAATAAACTAGAAATGAATAGAATAGAAAATAAAATAATAGAATAAAAAAAAGATATAATAGAATAAAATAGAATATAGCAGTCTTCCGAAATTTGAATTTCGAAAAGAATAGAAATAAAAGAATAGAATAAAATAATATAGAAAATTAAGGAATAGAATAGAAAAAGAATAGAATAGAAAAAAAAAGAATAGAATTAAAAAAAGGATAAAATAGATTAAAATAGAAAGATTATAGCAGTCTTCCGAAATTGGAATTTCAAAAAGAATAGAATACAAAGAATAGAATAGAAAATAAAGAAATAGAATAAAAAAAGAAATAGACTAGAAATGAATAGAATAGAAAATAAAATAATAGAATAGAATAAAAAAAAAGATAGAATAAAATAGAATATAGCAGTCTTCCGAAATTTGAATTTCAAAAAGAATAGAAAATAAAAGAATAGAATAAAATAATATAGAAAATTAAGGAATAAAATAGAAAAAGAATATAACAGAAAATAAAATAACAGAATTAAAAAAAGGATAAAATAGATTAAAATAGAAAGAATATAGCAGTCTTCTGAAATTTGAATTTCAAAAAGACTAGAATACAATAAAATAGAATAGAAAATAAAGGAATAGAAAAGAGGATAAAAGAACAGAATAGAAATAACAAAATACAATAGAATAGAATACAATAAAATAAAATAGAAAATAAAGGAATAGAAAAGAGAATAAAAGAATAGAATAGAAGTAACAAAATGCAATAGAATAACATACAAAGAATATAACCATCTTCTGAAATCGAATAGAATAGAACCAGCTTCACAATGAATTCGGATTTGCTTCGATATTCTCAAATCCATTCGAAAAATTTTAATCCAGTCGAAAATGAATAAACAAAACAAAACGTGTTTCGATACGAATGCAACGAAACAAAATAAGTAAATTTACAAATCGATCAGAAACTAAATGAATTTTTTCGTTCTACACTATTCACCTGGAAAAAAAAAAAAAAAAAAAAAGAAATAAAATCCAAACTCAGAAGAGTCAGCAGGCTGTGGATGGGCTGGTGACACCATTACATTGGGAGGTTTATCTTTCACTTTCTGTACTGAAGACCGAGACACAGCAGGAGGTGACAGGAAACCTCCCTGAAAGCTGGACCTAGACTAATGCAGGCCATACACGGGTCAAATTCCAAACAACTTTTCTTTAGAAAATTGGAAATTTTGTGCGTTTTGTAACCCGACGGCGCCACCATTGATTTCGAAATTCCACGAACCGAGCCTTCCATTCCCCCTACAGAAAATAATTTTCATGGCCAAGAATTTTCTTTTCTTCCCAGGTCACAGCTTTATATTTCTTGCATAATTTTCCTATCGTTGATTCGAAATTCGTTCGTTTATCCAAAAATTTCCAACATGCCCGATCACTTAAATTTGATCGTCACACGAAAATCGTCTGTTTCTGTGACCCACTAACGGTGCGACATTTGAACGAAAATTCTTAGAAAAGATTTTCGAAAAAGAAAAATTCTTTCAGAATTCGACCCGTGTATGGCCGGCTTTAGATTTTCGAACGAACGTTCACATATGGACGCACTTACGAAAATTCTTGAACTCCAGTCTTATGCAGGTCATAGATGGGTCAAAAATCGGCCGATTTCTTTGGCCGAAAAAAAAATTGGCTGATTTTTGCACCGTTAGTGGGTTAATTGGTTGGCTGTTTTTCTGGATTTTGGCACATTTTTTTATCGGTAAAGTTGGAAAAAAATCGGCCAAGTTTGCAGATCGGCCGATTTTCGCGACAATGATGGGCAAATCGGCCGATCTTTTTACCGATAAAAAATCTGCGCATGAGCCGTGACCTGCAAGAAAAAGAAGAAGGAGAAGAGGAAAAAGAAGAAGAAGAAGGAAAAAAGAAGAAGTAGAACAAGAAGAAGTAGAAGCAGAAAAAGAAGAATAAGAAAAAGAAGGAGAAGAAGAAGAAAAAAAGAAGGAGAAGAAAAAGGAGAAGAAGAAGAAGAAAAAGAAGAAGAAGTAGAAGAAGAATAGGAAAAAGAAGGAGAAGAAGAAGAATAAAAGAAGGAGAAGAAAAAGAAGAAAAAGGAGAAGAAGAAGAAAAAGAAGAAGGAGAAGAAGAAGAAAAAGAAGAAGAAGAAGAAAAAGAAGAAAAAAAAAAGAAGAAAAGTAGAAGAAGAGAAGAAGAAAAAGAGATAGAAGAAGGAGAAGTAGAAGAAGAGGCAGAAAAAGAAGCAGAGGAAAAAGAAGAAGGAGAAGAAGATGAAAAAGAGGAAGAAGAAAAAGAAGAAGCAGAAAAAGCAGAAGAAGCAGAAAAAGAAGGAGAAGAAGTAGAAAAAGAAGAAGAGTGAGAAAAAGAAGAAGAAGAAGGAGAAGAAGAAGAAGAAGAAAAGAAGAAGAAGAAAAAAGAAAAGAAGAAGAAGAAAAAGGAGAAGAAGAAAAAGAAGGAGAAGAAGAAGGAGAAAAAGAAGAAAAAGAAGAAGAAGAAAAAGAAGAAGAAGCAGAAAAAGAAGAAGAAAAAGGAGAAGAATGAGAAAAAGAAGAAGAAAAAGAAGGAGAAGCAGAAGAAAAAGAAGAAGAAGAAGAAGTAAAAGAAGAGGAGGAAAAAAGAGGAAGGAGAAGAAAAAGAAGAAGAGGAAGTAGAAAAAGAAGAGGAAAAAGAAGAAGAAGCAGAAGAAGAAGAATTCCAGTCGCTAATATATTTTACATGAAAAAGTATAGCGGTTGCAACAATGTATCCATTTGTATCTATTTGTATCCGAATAAAAACATCTGTATCAGAAATGGATACAAATAGATACATCATTGCAACCACAAGACTTTTTCATGTGAAATATAATAGCGGAGCTCTCTGCAGGGACAGAAGTAATTAAATGCTGGCTGTAGACAGGACAAAAATCGGCCGATTTTTTTTTTTTTTTACCGTTGGTGGTAAAGTCAGCCTATTGAACGACCAATTTTTTCTTTTGTTTTAAAAAAACGGCTGGTTTTGGACCCGTCTATGGCCTGCATTATAGAGTTGTTGGGAGCAGACGCTTGATGAACATCGTTCAAAATGTACTTCAAATTTGAGCTCACTTTTAACATTCGATTTCCGAAGGAAAGCCCTATTTATTGTTAGAAAATAATTTGTTTGAGGAAAAAAATGTCCAAATTTTCTCATCGTGGCAGTTAAGAACGAGCGCCGAACGTTCTTCAGATTTTAAACCAAATTTGAAAAGTGTATGGCCAGCTTGAAAGTAAGGGAAGTGAGCACTGATAGATTCCTCCTTCATTTGTGTTCTGGGGACACTTTCTGTTCCAGGGCCAATGGTGACCGGGACAAAAAAAAGAGATCGAATATCCCCAACAGGGACGGAGACAGCGATTGGAGGACCGAATCCTGCAGTCAGCTGCATTGCCTCACTTCCTATATATAAATCTGCTGTACGTGTCGGGCTTTTGGAAGGGAGAAAGCTGCAGGAATTTCTATTATGAATCAGCAGTTCCATCTGCCAGGCTCTGAGCCGAGTGTTTATCCCGCAGTTGTCATGTCTTTTCTATAGAAAAAACACAATGGAATTGCTTCGTACGGGCGTACCTTCCCGATAGGAACCGGTATGACTCAACCTGCTGAAAGCTGAACTCGGGTCAAACGGCTGAATATGCAATTGAAGTTGATAAATCGATCGTTATTCTGTTCTTCAAGCCATGAGATAATGAGTACCCCCCCTACCAGACAGAACGGCCAGGTCATTGACCTCACTTTTCTCCCTTACAGTTCAGCATGGTCACCGACACTCCCTCCCTGTTCATTGGACAGTGAAGGGAGCATTGGTGCCCTCAAGGTATTTTTTCTAACTCGGTAAGGATGAAGATGACAGCTCCAGGCATTATTGTAGTGTGACATGTTTTCAATATTTAAAGGGTCGGTCCAACCAAAACTAGTCATCTTCATCCTTAATGCCCCTTCACTGTCCAGTCAACAGAGGGAGGTTGTGTCGGTGACCAAGCTGTGCTGCTCAACTGTAGCGGTGAAGAGTGAGGTCACCGATCTAGCTGTTCTGTCTGGTAAAGGGGTATCAGTGGAGAGCTAAACTCTTACCCAGGGGCAGACTGACCATTTGGAAACTCGGGCACTGCCCAAGGGCCCGGGGTCAGTATGGGGCTCCATGAGATGCCCCTGGTACCTTTTTCATAGGCTTTTTTGAGTTTTTGGGCATGGACACAGGGGCCCCATGAGATGCCCCTGGTACCTTTTTCATAGGCTTTTTTGAGTTTGGGCATGGACACAGGGGCCCCATGATCCCCTATTGCCTGGGGGCCCCATGAGTTGTCAGTCCGCCCCTGCTCTTACCTTCTGTTCCGAGGGCAGCTGTAAAATTTCAGATTTCCCTTCATGCAACAGGAAACGAGTGGAATTCACTCCAGAACTCCCGTCTTAGAGAGTTGTTGGGAGCAGACGTCCCAATTGGAGGATTTTTCCTCACTTTTTGCTCTTGAGAGAACCCTAAAATTTTGGATGGTCCTTCATTTTCTGTCCCGGTCACTATGGTCATCAGGGTGAGCTTGGGTTCAAGTCCAAACCCCAAGAGAAGCTTTCAGTGCCTAACAGAGCATTTGAGCTAAGATGGCCACGTGGCCAAATTGGGTTGATGTAATTGACCTAATATGGAAATGTGGCCCATATTTGGCCAATAATGCCCCAACCCCTTTGTTTACATACAGCTCTGGGGCAGGGAATGCCCTGGCTGCAGATAATTGGATCGGCACTGAAAGCCTCCTGAGTTTGGACCAACCCAAACCCATACCTAATGGTCTGGTGGACACATTGAGAGCAGGTATCCCCCCTCCACTGGTGCCATAGACAGCTATGAAGAACCAACATGGGTGGTTCACACCTTATCCAAAAACTAAAAAAGATAGATTAAAGAAACCGTAGACAGAAGGATCAAGTCCTTGTACACCTGCATGCAGTCCTTAAATGTGTTGTCCATGCTCCTCTTGAATAAGTGATCAGCGTTGTCTTCTATCTTCTGTCACAGGTGACCACGGCCAGGAACACTGGCCAGATTCCTTCCCTGACTGTGGTGGAACTGCTCAATCTCCAATCAATGTAAAGACAGGAGAAGTTACCTACAACGGCTCCTTACCCCCTATAAAACCAGTCGGATATAGCACCCACGGAGACTCCACTTTCACCCTCACCAATAATGGTCACACAGGTAAACTGCGGTGGTGATTGGCCTCAGTCAAGATACTTGTATACCGGTTTTAACTGACTATTGTGAATCGGAGAGCTGACTATTCCTCACTTGAGTGATCTACAGTATTACAACACCAGCTCCATGTTTTCATTAAAGAGACCCGGTCACTTTGTCCTTTCAAAAAATCAAGGTCACATGCTCCCCCATACCTGGGTATTTTATAATGGCTACATACGCTCACTTTCAGAAAATCAACAAAATTTCTTTTGAGCCTACCATCTTCTTCCACTGCAGCCACCTCAGAACACCCTGTGCAAGCTCCATGTTGGGTGGTGTAGGAGCTTAATGTCCAAGCAAAGTTGGGTTGTGTAGGAGCTTAATGTCCAAGCAAAGTTGGGTTGTGTAGGAGCTTAATGTCCAAGCAAAGTTGGGTGGTGTAGGAGCTTAATGTCCAAGCAAAGTTGGGTGGTGTAGGAGCTTAATGTCCAAGCAAAGTTGGGTGGTGTAGGAGCTTAATGTCCAAGCAAAGTTGGGTGGTGTAGGAGCTTAATATCCAAGCAAAGTTGGGTGGTGTAGGAGCTTAATGTCCAAGCAAAGTTGGGTGGTGTAGGAGCTTAATGTCCAAGCAAAGTTGGGTGGTGTAGGAGCTTAATGTCCAAGCAAAGTTGGGTGGTGTAGGAGCTTAATGTCCAAGCAAAGTTGGGTGGTGTAGGAGCTTAATATCCAAGCAAAGTTGGGTGGTGTAGGAGCTTAATGTCCAAGCAAAGTTGGGTTGTGTAGGAGCTTAATGTCCAAGCAAAGTTGGGTGGTGTAGGAGCTTAATGTCCAAGCAAAGTTGGGTGGTGTAGGAGCTTAATGTCCAAGCAAAGTACTTGGGCCTGGTGATGGCCACTAGGCTTGAGCACTGTATTGTGGGAGAAGTCCTTCTGTCCCTTTTGCTCTTCGGTTGCCCCCCTTTCTGATCTATAAAAATGTAACTCTAAAAAGCTGTCTACTACACTAAACCTTCAAGGTATCTAAGAAGATGTAGATTGAGGAGATGGTGATAACTCATAGTGGTTTTGCTATGGTGCCCCATCATACATTGGCTACAGCACTGCTCCTACAGGACAGCTAGGTGACTATGTAGGCCAAGTCCACCTTTACAATAACAGAAGGCCTAGGACAAAGTGGTCCCTTTGACCCCTCTCAACAGTAGCCAGATTTACATGTTGGGAAGATGTTGCTATCCCATTGTGCTTTTACTATCAGGCCCCACCATATGTGGTACAGTTCTGCTCCTATGGGACAGCTAGTTGACTATGTAGGCCCAGTCTACTTTTACAATAACACAAGGCCTAGGACAAAAAAGTCCCTTTGACCCTTCTCAACAGTACCCAGACTTACATGTTGGGAAGATGTTGCTATCCCATTGTGCTTTTACTATCAGGCCAGACCATATGTGGTTACAGTTCTGCTCCTACAGGACAGTTGGCGACTCTGTAGGCCAAGTCCTCCTTTACAATAACAGAAGGCCTAGGACAAAAACTGTCCCTTTGACCCTTCTCAACAGTAGCCAGATGCTCCTATGGTAATATAAAATACTAACGTTTTTTTATATACACATTTTATTAGAATAGTTTGGGGTTTTTTTATGCAGCACTTTACATACTGAACATGCACATTAGGCCCTGCCCTTGAGGAGCTTACGGATGTGTTGGGAAGATGTTGCTATTCCATTGTGCTTTTACTATCAGGCCCCACCATATGTGGTTACAGCTCTGCTCCTATAGGACAGTTGGTGACTCTGTAGGCCAAGTCCTCCTTTACAATAACAGAAGGCCTAGGACAAAACTGTCCCTTTGACCCTTCTCAACAGTAGCCAAACGGATGTGTTGGGAAGATGTTGCTATTACATTGTGCTTTTACTATCAGGCTCCACCATATGTGGTCCCAGCTCTGCTCCTATAGGACAGTTGGTTACTCTGTAGGCCAAGTCCACCTTTATAATAACAGAAGGCCTAGGACAAAACTATCCTTTTGACCCTTCTCAACAGTAACCAGACGGACTTGTTGGGAAGATGGTGCTATCCTATTGTGCCTTCTCTATCAGGCCCCACTATATGTGGTTACAGCTCTGCTCCTACAGGAAAGCTAGGTGACTACATAGGACCAGTCCACTTTCACAATAACAGAAGGTCTAGTTCAATACTGTCCTTTTGACTTCTCTCAGCAGCAGCCAGACGGATGTGTTGACATCAGTCCATTTCTGTCTGAACCTTTCATGAAGAATATTTCATGAACTTTGGAGAGGAGCCTGTGACATTTAAACATGGCCGCACACATATCAGCACGTTAGACCATGTCAAAAATGTTTGGCATGTCCTACCAAGCTGTCTAATTAATTTTACAACCCACAGGTTTCTGCCAATATGAAACAAAGTGGTGAGTTCACCTGGTGTGTAGCCAATGCAGCACTTACATTACTAAAGTTCTGCAGAGGGGAACATTTGTCAGTTGGGTGGTATCTATTCACAATCGGAGTCTGACAATACATTTTAGTACCTTTAGTTTAGCTTCAGATGAGAAGTCACCAGGTTTTACTTCTTTTTTCTTGCATTTGACACCCGTCCTTGTCCCCTCGATCACCTCTTGGGCTCATTCCGACACCAAATGCCTTTCGAGGATGGGAACATTGTCACATGTTTCCAAGAAAATGAATGCCCTTTCCTGTCTTCTGGTGTCTAAGTTTGGAAAAGTGTGAAGGTCAGTCCCCAAACCAGCTGGCTCGATGTACCAAAAATGATGAAGTATGTGACCTTTGGCTTCCTGTCATTCTTAATCAGGACTGGTTTTCATCAAGCTCAGAATCTGTGTAGATAATCGACCTGGAGACCTGACCCAGCAGGCATAAAGCTGGTTACAGACCTCAGCTGGAGGTCAGATATACATGCAAAATCCAACCTCTCAATGGCTTTTCTTGTCACACTTTAAACATATATCTTGTACTGCATGTTGCAGACACCCTCAGCTGAGCTGTCAACGTGAAGTTAAGTTGCATACAGCCATAGAAGCCATTAATTCTACGAAGTAGGGACCTAACAAAACAGTATATCTATAACCTATGTAGTTATATTTCCTTTAGGATATAAAGCCAGTTTATTGGCTTGTGCAAACTCCTACAGGTTGCTCAGCTATTGGTAGCTAGTAATGAAGAAGTTATTTTATGAGAGAGAACTATACACTATGGCTAAAGGTGCGTGGATGCCTATTACACCTCTATGGGCTTGTTGGACATCCCAATTCCAAAACCGCAGGATTTCATATGCACTTTTCTGTGAAGGCTTTCCATAATATTTTGTGGTGTTTCTATGGGAATTTGTGCCCACTGATCCAGTAGAACATTTGTGAGGTCAGGTACTGATGTTGAATGAGAAGACCTGGACCACCATCAGCATTCCAGTTCATCCCAAAGGTGTTCAGTAGAGTTGAGGTAAGAGATCTGTGCAAGAATCTCGAGTCCCTCCAAACCAAACTGGTCAAACCATGCCTTTATGGAGTTGTCCACCATTTATGAGGTCAGGTACTGATGTTTGATTAGAAGACCTGGCTCCCAATCGACATCCCAGTTCATCTCATAGGTGTTCAATAAGGTTGAGGTCAGGGTTGCCACTTGAGTTCCTTCACACCAAACTCATCAAGCCATGTGTTTATGGAGCTAGCTTTGTGCACAGGGGCATAGTCATGCTGGAATAATCATATCATAGGTAAAGGTGTGTTTGCACACCTGGCCATCAAGCCTCTTTGAGCTTGTTGGAGATCCCAATTAAAATACCACGGGGTTTTATATGCACTTTTCTGGGAAGGCACCTGGACACCTGACCATCAAGCCTGTATGTGCTTGTTGGACATCTCAATTCCATAACCATGGGGTTTCATTTGCACTTTTCTTGAAAGACACCTGGACACCTGACCATCAAGCCTCTATGTGCTTGTTGGACATCTCAATTCCATAACCATGGGGTTTCATTTGCACTTTTCTGGGAAGGCTTGCCATAGTATTTTGTTGTGTGTCTGTGGGAATTTGTGCCCACTAAGCACAAAGAACAATTGTGAGATCAGGTACTGGTGTTGGATGAGAGACCTGGCTCCCAGTTGACATTCCAGTTCATCCCATAGGTGTTCAGTAGGGTTGTTGGTTTGGATCCTTCACATCAAACCCATCAAACCACGTCTTTATGGAGTTGGCTTTGTGCACAGGGGCACAGTCATGCTGGAACAATTATGTAATGTCATGGGAAAAGCTGTGTGGACACCTGACCATCACACTTCTATGAACTTGTTGGACATCTCAATTCCATAACCACGGGGTTTCGTTTGCACTTTTCTGGGAAGGCTTGCCATAGTATTTTGTTCTGTGTCTGGGAGAATTTGTGCCCACTAAGCCTATAGAACAATTGTGAGATCAGGTACTGGTGTTGGATGAAAAGACCTGGCTCCCAGTTGACATTCCAATTCTTCCCATAGATGTTCAGTAGGGTTGAAGTCACTGCCACTTGAGTTCCTTCACACCAGACTCATCAATCCACGTCTTTATGGAGCTGGCTTTGTGCACAAGGGCATAGTCATGCTGGAATAATCATGTCATAGGTAAAGGTGTGTGTGCACACGTGGCCATCAAGCCTCTTTGAGCTTGTTGGAGATCCCAATTAAAATACCACGGGGTTTCATATGCACTTTTCTGGGAAGGCACCTGGACACCTGACCATCAAGCCTGTATGTGCTTGTTGGACATCTCAATTCCATAACCATGGGGTTTCATTTGCACTTTTCTGGAAAGGCACCTGGACACCTGACCATCAAGACTCTATGTGCTTGTTGGACATCTCAATTCCATAACCACAGGGTTTCATTTGCACTTTTCTGGGAAGGCTTGCCATAGTATTTTGTTGTGTGTCTGGGAATTTGTGCCCACTAAGCACAAAGAACAATTGTGAGATCAGGTACTTGTGTTGGATGAGAGACCTGGCTCCCAGTTG